AGGTCTAGGGGCCTAATGAAGTAATGAATTTCATTTTACTGCAAAATTTATCGAATTTCAAGCCCATTAGGCCATTCATACAAAGTACCTATAAACATTTCGCCTCCGCTGTACCCTCGGCTTTGTCCATGTGTGACACCACTGTTGTACAAATATTTTGAAGATGTCAGGTTCCTCTGTCTAAAGAGCCGATAATACGGTCTCTTGCTTATAACGGGCCCGCACTTGCAAAAAGAAAAATCTTACGTCAACTCTACTACCTATGCCAACTTTCTAAACAATCATTTGGAACAGCTGTAGCCAGAGGGAGCTAGCTGTGTTCAAATTTGTCCTTAAAGTACCACTGAATTTTTTTGAATTTTTTATTCTGATAGACTAATCATCGCTGATTTCGAAAATAAGTTTAGTTCTTTCATTTGGGTCCCATAGATGGTGCGAAAAGAGGCTGGGCGATTCTACCATAGTGAGGGCTGTAAGAAGATAAGAAGTTATCAATTGTATAAAACGTGATACCAGCGTGGAACTTGGTAGTAATAGGCAATTTGATACGCTGAAAAAGTAAGGATGTGAATAGACGCTGGAAAATATTTCTCATGCTATTTATGCAAGGCTCTAGACCCTGCAAGTTATTTTCATATTTTAATTGTGCATCGCGATACCATGACAATGATGCTACTACGATAGCCAGGGACGCCACGAGGTTCTGCAGGCCTCGGGGCAAAATGGAAAGACAAGGCCAAAGCGAAATGGCGATTTACTTTTTAAGGCATGATTTTGCTACTTTTAACCAATTCCATTTAAAAATGAACTAATGCTTTGACAGTGGCAACGCAAGTTGGAAAGTGAGGAAAGTGCCCTAAAATGTGCAATTTGTTTTCCCTTGATCAATTTGCTCCTTAGAATCAAGTTGTGCGCTACTGACTTTTACTCACAATTTGTATAGCTGCTCGCAAAATTATTCTTATTCCACACACTCATTAATTCACAAAAGGTAAATGGTCGGCAAGATGTCTTGGTACAAACTGCACTCAAAAAGTTTGCTTATTTCGTATGGGCGCGAAATTTTCGCAAGAAAATATTTTGCATATGGCTTGCAGTTAGATAGCTAGTGATATTTAGAGATTAAGTATCGCACTATTTCCATCCACTTTGCGATTCTTTTGGTTTTTATCGCACTCGAAATTTTTCATAGACTGCGCACAGATTTTCGCACGAAAAGTCTTGAAATCGCAACTTTGAAGCGTTCAAAACAGTTAACAATTCCGAAAAAATAACTTCACCATCGGATTGAGGAGCACTGACTTGACAAAGAGCATCAATAAAAAAATCGATTTTTTCATTTCAGTGGCATTTTGAGATGGGGGCAAACCCCTTGTTTCCCCACGGTAGCTGAACAATATCTCTATTTCAGCACAAAAATCTGGAAAAAATCAATAAAATCTAGATTTTTGACAATTTTTCGGAAAATTTTCCACCCGGAAAAAATAGTCTTTATCTGGAAATTTTTTCTACAGAATTTTAGTATTTTACTCGTGCATTTTTAAAAGAACCAGAAAAGCGTTCGGTTTGCTTATCCAAAATTTCGACTTTATCTCTAAGACACTTGTTTAGAAATAGTGTTTATTATCATTTGATCATAATATCAATTGAATGATCACAAAAAAAATAATATTTTCAGACAATTTGTACTTCGATTTTTTTTGGAAATTCGGGAGGCGCAAAGACAGAGGCGCACAGACAGAGGCGCATAATTTTCATTCATTTTTCAATCCATTCATTTTTTTTCGGTAGCTATTGAGTGTCAGAGATCAGTGTCTTATCCGTTTGGGAAAAAACTGACGTGAAAAAAACATTCTATGATAAAACACTCCCAACGATACTCCTCTTTGTAAAGGAAACAAGCGAATGGATTGAAATCTCCAGGGATCAAATTGCAAGCATAATAAAGGATTTGCCTAAGTTTATTTGAGAAAGAAAGGGATAAATTGAAAAAAAGACACGGCCTCGAAAGCTGCAAAAGAAAAGTCTACAAAAGGCTGGAGTTAGTTGACGTCACGAAAGAAAGTCCTAGAGAGTTCTAAAGTTTGATGTCATGAAAACACCATCAAATACCCAGAGTCCAGAAAACATTACGTTCGCACGATCATTGACCGGAGGAAGATTTGAAAAACAATAGAAATATGGAGGAAGGTTTTGAAAAATTTTTTTACAGTGTCGACTAGCAGCGCGGGCCACTAGGGTCTGGGGGGGGGGTTAGGGGATAAATAGCGCCAATGACCTCTTAGAATTAGCTCTGGATAGGCATTTTGGTGGTGGAAGGAATTGGTATTTTACTATTGATAAAGTTACACCAAAAAACAAGCCAAAAATTTATTGATCAAAATTTATAAAGAAATATTATTCTTAAGCGGTGATGTTTTGAATGTTATTCTAGCAAAATTTTGTCCTATGCGATAATTACATTCGACCCAAACACATAATGTTGTCTCCATTTATAACTTCTGCCACATTTTAGCCATGCCCTAGCTACTCGCTAGCCACGCCCTAGCAACGGTGATTGCCTCTAAAATTGGGGAAGGTTTTGACAGGAAAACAATTTGACCGGAGGAAGGTAAAGGAGTTTTCTGGACTCTGGAAAAACCGTTAAACAGAAAAATTAATTAAGAGTATTCATATTTTAGGGAAAGGCCAATCACATATTTCACGTTTGCTAACAAATTCTGTGGCGTTGATTGGATGGTTCGATGGAAGTATGGGGTTTGACAACCCCTCCCCCAATACTAAACGAACTGAACGGTAAGTCTTTATTTGGTACACAAATCCTTTGCAGGCAAAATCGCCTAACGATAGTTGAAAAAAGCTCAATCTTTTTTTGTTTAGTATATTTTCGTCAATAAATTCACCTATTAGTAAGCCACCACCCGTCGATCCTGGAGGTTAAGTTACATTCACTGGATGGATAACTCTTATTTTGGTTAGTTTATAGACTTACATATATCCACCGTATAGTGACGACAGTGTCAAAATGACTGGACAAGCAAGGTCGTCTTTTCATTTATGAGTTTTGGAATATGTCCACATAAAAAGAAAGATCCCTACTTGTGTAGAAAGAAAGAGTTCGTTTTCTCTATTGGGTGTGGTGAGAGGCTAGCGACCTCTGATTGGTAAAAAATAAGGAACCAATCAAAAGCGTCATCTCTTACGTCACTTTCGATCCACACCTGGATATAAATTTGTTCAGCTTCCTTTCGGTTATTACCCGACGTTTATACTCTGAAGAGTGTCGAACGGGAAGCACACCATGTTTCCGCTATTTCGTGCCACCTTAAATCTATTATAATCTTTGATAATTACATCTCTGCAAGCTGCTTTGTAATTACATATATTCATATAGGTTATTAATGTTTTGTTTCGCTCTATCGTAAATATGTACGTAGATGCGTATATGTTATGCTCGTCAGATTAACGGCCATTTCAGCCTTTATATCTTTATTGTTAAAGAAAGGAAAGAAAATAATATTCAAATTGAATAGCCAATATGTTATAAAATGTTTTCTTTTTACAATGCCATTTTCAATATTCAAACTAAAACGGATACCAGTAAATACTCTCCGTTTTCAGGTTACGATATTTTGATGCCAGGGTCCCCTTTTTGGTATTTACACTGAAATTCCGTTCATGCTGTTCCGAGATTGCTGAAAGTCTACCCGTTTTTTCCTTGCGCTTAAAATGCTCTGCTATAAAAAAATTAGTCATTCGAAAGCGCAAATAAACATGGATACTTTTTATTACGGTGCGTATTCAATACATTTCCTTTACTGGTTACGTTTTACACATATCAAGCTTGTATTTTTTAAGTATGATACATTTCCAAAAATATCTTACTGATAAAGAAACATCAAAGCAATTAATTGAAATTTCTGCTGGAGACCATGAACCCCCCTGATTCCATATATATGTAGATTCTTAGAGCAAAATCACCTCTCTTTCTTGAGAAATGGTGCTCTTTTGAGCAAAGTGTAAGCAGAGAGTAAAGACAGCGTAATACGTAGCCCGCGCCACAAGAAAACTTACAAGGGGCACTGTATAATTAGCTTGATTTCTAGTAATACGGTGGCACTCAGCGAGCACTGCAGCTTAGACAACACAGTCTTCGAAAAAACACACCAATGTTTATGACTATGAATGCTGTTGGCGATTTCATGTTTAATGGTTGCCAGCTTCGAGATGTAGGGGGGGTGGGGGGACTTGTGTGTAAGCAAACGCGTATAAGCTTGCGTGTACGCATGCCTGCAAATCAGCTGAGTTCAGTTATGTCATTGTGTCAATTTGAATTTTTTTACAAAAATAAACGAAAAGTACAAAAACTGGTGTCTAAGTGACATTCTATATAAATTTAACTGATTTTGCACATATGGGAGTATTTCTTTGTGTTCTTTTATGTCATGTGGTCAAAATTCTAAAACTCTTAATGTAGTTTTTTCGTGACGTCACACTTGATGACTCTATAGTGAAGGTGATAATCAAACCACGTGAGTACAATAAAACTAAAAATAGCTAAGAATTCAGAAAAGATCTTCTACAGAAAAAAATTAATGAGAGCCAGCCCCCTGACAGTAACATAGTTCTTGAAATAAAATTAACTTTTTCTCTATCTTTAGGAATAGCCCCGAAAATATTCGGCAGTTTTCGTCCTTGCTCCTTGAACCCCATGTTCAATGGCCTTTGCCGACCAACCAAAACTGATTCACGCGACCAACAGTTCCTTCATGATGTTCGGTTTTAATCAAAGATATTCTCACTAGTTTGATAAAAGTGCGGATTTACAATAAAAACTAAATGTAGACATCTCAGAAACCATTCATTTGATCGACAGAGTTTTAAACTGACACGTGATCATTTTCGTTTCAATATCATTATGCATTTCCTTACAATTCAGACATCTGAGGCAAATCGCATTGTAGACGAAAGACGAAACGAAACGGGAATCTATGCCCGAAAGTGTATGCATGATTACAAACATCACAAGGAATTTCATGCACGCCAAACAATACGGTATTATCTGTACCAATAATAAAACGTTGAGATATAATCGCTCTTTTGACATGCGGTTTATGGAGCTGCCCATGCATTTTGAAAGCTGCAATCCCAAATCAATGAGAACAGTGAAACTAGGGTAGAAACCAAATTTACTCCAATTTTAAATTTTACCGATTAGACACAGCATAACGGTAAAATATGACTGCATAGAAAAAGGCGTTTCTCTCACATTTCGCCCACTCAGACAGAAAAGGCTATTTAAGGAGAAATAAGTTCATGATGGATTTGTGCAGAAGTTCTAGACCACAATATTGCCAACAAATACCTAAGACAGAGGTGGAAAAGACAGCAATTGATTGATTGCAAGAATCTTTGCAAAAATGACAAATCTTAAGGTGAGTTTTGCAAAACATTTTGTATATCTAGAATAGCAAGTAATTTATTTATTTTAAGACACATGGGCCTATTTTTGGTTTTTTTCCATTAACCACTAGAAATTTTTAAAGTTACTTTAAGATCTTCTTTAAAATTTACTTTTCATTTTCTAACGTGCCCGTTTGGCCTTTTTGTGCTTATATGCTTCTTTAAAAAGAACCAACGTCTATATTGTAATGAGGGTAAAATATATCTAAGAAAAGAAATATATAGCTTTAAATGAATTTATGTAAGATTTAGTTAAATTTACATGAGCTTTACACAATAATAAATTATCCGATATCAAAATCACAGTAGGGCTAGTCAAGTACAATAGCCTTTCCTTTCACCTTTTTCATGGTGGCATTGCAGGAAGGGAACCCTCCGAATGATCATATTGCTGCATCATGGAATATTTCATTTAACATAGGTTGTAAGTAATGATAGTTCTATCTATCCCGATACTGCCTTTTAACATTTGCATCCATGGCATATTTTAACATACTGCAACTTTAACATATTGCAACTGCCCTGACACTAAAACATCAACCCTGCCCCCAAAATTAAACCATTGTCACTGGTGGTCCCTTTCGGGTTCGTCCCACCATTGGCATGCCCCTTTGGGCTCGCCTTACTGTTGGTTGGCCCCTTCAGCCTAGAATCCAGCCTTTTTAATAAAATGCCCGTGGTATGGACCCTTTAGGGGTGTTCTTTACCAGTTACCAGTAAAAAGATCTTTATAGTGGTATTGCCTGCATCTGTATATATTTTCTGCCTCAAGTGCCCTTAACAGGTTTGATAGGGAAGTTTAAGGTACGCGCAAGAATGCAACATCACTGATCAAAAGTTGCTGTGATATTTAAGAGATAATATTTTGATTCGAATACAGCTAGTCGATTTAGATAGATAAATCGTAGCAAATACTCAAGAAGCGAGAAATAACGTGATTCTACAATGATATGCATGAATCGAAAGTGTTGGCTATGCATAATATATAACTAAATGATAATTTATGACATGCTTGATGGAATATTTGTTCAACAGAATACTTTATTACATCATATAAGAGTGATATACTTGAAGTAGACTTATTTGAAATGAAACTAGATGAAACAGCAAGGCTTAGATAGAATACCGCGAATTTGTATCTACGGGCACATGTATCTACTTTACACGCAGAGTTACATGAATCTACTCCACGTTAATTGTTATCAGTTTTAATTGAAAATGATTATAAAAATAAAGCGACGTGAAATACGGTGGTGTAAACATTGCCAACAGACAAATGGGTGAAAATTTCGATTTTGTTAGCAGAAAATGGTTTACAAGCACTTTAAGATGACCAGATATCTAAGTTTAGAATTAAGTTGGCTCTGAAGCTAAGAAATGATACAGCTCTTGCAGCTTAAAAGAACTATTGCTATTAAAGTAAGGCCTAAAAGTAATTGTTTATCTAAAAAAATTATGAAATCCGTTCTTCTGATATCCAGAAAACAAAAACACTTTAAGGCCTGGTTCAAACGTCGCACTTCTCATGTGCCGAACCTAACTTTGTTCGGAGCGACACTTGAGCATGTTTAGCGCGACTCCCATTTCAAACGTCGAATTTAATTATATCGCGCCAAATGGGTTTTAGGATTGTTACAGGAAGTATCTTGGTTAAGAAGGCGCGCAATCTCAAATATTTGTTTGAAACGCATGCGCCCTCCAAGAAAGAAATGAATTCTGGGAAGGAAAATAAATTAAATATAATTATGTATTGAGCTCGGTACATGACAAGTTTGACGCTTGAAACCGTGCCGTGCTGGAGTCGTGCAGCTCGGCAAGCTCTGCCGATCCAAATGCCGCTCCTAACTCAATCTGCCGTACCAAATTGATTCAAACGTCGCGCCCCTCATGTACTCAATTCTCGAGTTAGGTTCGGCACATGAGAAGCGCGACGTTTGAAACAGGCCTAAGATTCTACGAATGAAATAAATCACGAAGACCGTACTAAACGAAAAAAGTTTCTTTTAACAAGATGATGCTAGAATTGGCACTGCCTAGTCGCCCCCATTACATTAACCCTTTATTGATTGTTTATAGAAACCTTAAAGGAGTATATAATGAATTCAATGCTTGAATCCATTTTGAAGAAATACCAAAGATTGCAAACTAGTACTTAAATGCCAAATCATAAATAAACAATCTCAAAATCATTAATAAGTATAACAAATAGCCCCAACCTAATTTTGAAAACCATTTTTGCAAATTGAAGCTAACTTTTGTCTGATTATATTTCAGGTCACTGAAAAGTTGATTGCTTTCGTTATCTTATTGGGGTTCAACGTTCTTGCTACCCTGGCATTGCCAACCGGTCAACAGCTTCTTGATTGCGAAGGGAAAAAACTTCAATTAAAACACCCTCGAGAAAGACTCGAAAATATCTTAAAGAACAATTTGATCCTGGAGGATTATCCAGATACGGCCTCGCTTAGTGATATTGGTTCGAGGCTAAAGCCAACGATAGACTGCCATTTCAGGTTTGATTATTCAGACAAGGATGATGAAAGGATACCAAGGGTATTACCGCAAGCAGTATGCCCTCCTGGAAAATGCTCGTTTGCTTGTAAACCGGTAACTGTGAAAAAGACAGTGCTGCACAGAAAGTGCCACAGTGAGCTTGGAATCATTTATTCAATGTCCTTTGTCAATATTGCAATTGGCTATATCCGACAAAGGGGGACAGTTCGTTAGCTTATTTACTCTCTAAATATCTTGTGTACAGTTTCGTGGTTGTCACAGTTTCGATATTATTACCACCACTCTAGGAACCAGGGGTAAAACAAAAAGGGCGGGTACTCTAACATTCTGCATGTCTCTATAGAAAAATTAAGGGAAAAAATTGCGATTGCCTGTTAAGTGCTTTGTTGACCACATGGTATTATGTCTTAACAATTAATCATCACAGTTACATTTTCGATATTAGGGACACTGGCACAAGCCAATGTAGAGTGGGTGCCATAGTAGTGCGGGGGGGGGGGCTGTATATGATATAGGTTACCCATTTTCAGTATCTCTAAAAGCCCTAATTATTACCAGGCAAACCTTTCTCCATTTCAAGAAGAAGTAGGTAGAAAAAAATATTGGCAAAGAAACATGTTCTTGCTTGGAAAGCTTTGATCATGACCCCCACCCCCCCCCCACCGTTCATGGGGAATGTCTATTAAAAAACCACAATGAACGAAGAACTGAATTTTGGTCTTTTTTAGCCTTAATACGTATGCTTATTAGAAATCGTTGAACTGATGAAGTTCATGATGAATAAGATGTCTTACAAGAATTCTTTTTATGTTTTGTAAATTTGTGTAGTTTTATGGCTGAAATTAGTGTAAGCAAACTGTAGAATTTTAGATTGCAAACGAACAATTTGAAAAATTTTTATCATTCTTTATATCATATTTTATCATATTTTTACCAGAAAAGAATTATTTTAAATAATGTTTTACGATAAAAGGATCTCATTTATTTTATTTGTTTCTCTTTGTATTACATCTCATTCTGACAGACTAAATTCATCTTTCCATCTCCATTCAACGCAGGCTTGTCCAACGCGTGGCCCGCGGTCCACATTATGGCCCGTGATGTTGTCTAATTTGGCCCGCGCTTGGGTCAAAGTTGATTAAGAGCTGCATTGTATTTATTAAGGTTGTAAGAGAGAAATTGATTCATATTTTTTACGATATTTTTATTTCGTATTATTTACGCGCACGTACACTTGGCGACTTCCAGTTCAACGCAGGGAACCAAACCCTGTACTTTGTGCCCAAACCATGAACACACCGCGCTTGTTTAAAAAGTTCAAGATTGGTACAAGCCATGTTTCTAAAAAGCAGGGAAGAGGGAGAGATAGTGAACTTGGTAAACGCAATTTCAAATTATCGCGGACAACCGATTTTTCCGTAGCTCAGCAAAATGACTTTGTTATGTGTTTGATTTGGTTTGAAAAAGTCGCACTAGTGCGGAAGGAATACGATATTGCTAGGCATAAAAACTAAACATTCATCTTATGATAAGCTGGAAGGCCAGTTACATGTTCATAAATTAGAAGTTTCTAGTCAACAATCTCTAAGGCAATCAGATTTTTTCAGTTCGGATTGTGCCACAAAATTCAGCATGTCATGATTTACTTTTCTTGCAAATATAAATGAAATTTGTTAGAACTGATGGCAGAAGCAGATTAAGTCCCGGTTCGCACGGGAAGGATTGCATACTGTTTCAGTGGCGTTCAAAATGTTTGAACAAACAGGAAATGAACTGTTCAGACTGGAACGGAACGATCACGTACTAATCGTTTCTTCTCTTCCCGCGGGAAGACAATCGCTCAGTTCTACTTTTTGTGCTAGAATTTCAAGAGTTTACCAGTGCGCATATCAGTATTTCCATATGAACAATGCATTTAGCCAGATTAGTAATCATTCTGTTTTTCCGATCATTCCGCCTGCTCACACGCTATCACTAAACGGAACGATTCAAAGTGTTTTCACGTGCGCGCAACCCCTAAGTCACTCATTTCTTGGAATGGGACGATATGAAACGAAACGGGGCTAAACAGACAATGCACCGATAAACATATAAGTGGCCCCCCAGTTACTGCGTTATTCTGGAAGTGGCCCTTCTTGAAATAAGGTTGGACAACCCTGATTTAACGCTTATCCTCTTTTACTTAAAAGTACAATAATGCGCTTGTACCAAACAGTTACGGTCTTCTTGAAAGAGAATTATTTAACTGGCAAAAGCTTTGCATTGAACAATCTTTATAAGACGACAGCTGGTTCCCAGAAACAGCTGATGTTAGTTCGTAATATTCAAACATACAGTGCCTCTCTGTTCTAGTACTGGCATTGCGTGTTCAGTTGGCAGCTGAAGAGGTAGAAAGTTATGCAAGACACAAGCAACAACAAGCAGTTTTCAATACATAACTGTATTACACTATAAACCAGGCTGCCAAAAATATGTTCATCCTAGTTAAGTGCCAAAATAGCTTACTTAGACTGACCTTTTCCAACAGGTTCAAAGAACATCGGGAGTTGCAAAGGCAATTTAACGAGGCAGTCACCGAAAGGGCTAAATATTTTTAGCATCTCACATCTCACAACAAACTGGCAGTTATCAAGAAGTAGAAATTCATATCCGCTTTTTTAGAACTTGAATTTTTTCGAAAAGACTTGCTGATAAACATAACGGAAGTAGATATTCTTGTACAATTATAAAAAGACATTGTAAAAAATTAAAAGAAGAGTGTAAAGCGGAAGATGAAAAATTGAATAATAATTTGAGGAATCAAGCAATTTCAAAAATAAACCATGGTGTTATAAAGATTTTTATCAAAAAGGAACTGGAACTGCAAAGTGGATAGTGCTCTTTTGTTTGTCGGCCATTGTTTTGAGTCGTTGCTTCAAAAAGAGGCCAAGAGGTTTTTTTACCAAAATGTTCTTTTATGAAAATAGCAGGACTGATCTTGAAAGGGAAAAACTTGATGATAACATGTTATCTTGTACTTTTTACCAAGATGCTTTTCTAAATGATATTTTCTATTACATGACTACAGAAAATCTTTGTAACTATGCCGATGACAATACAATATGGACAGTAGGTAAAAATGTTGATGATATAATATATAAATTAGAAACAGAAGTAGCAACTCTAAATAAATGGTTTAAGGATAATTCATTGTTACTAAATGAAGACAAACGTAACTTTATGATATTTGAACATAAACAAACCAGAACTGAAAAAGCAAATATTAAAATAGGAAATGCAACAATCGAAGAGACAAAAAAGGCCAAACTACAAGGAATAACTTTCGACAGCAAACTAAACTTTGAAGAACATATAAAAAACTTATGTAAAGAAGCAGGTAAAAAGATAAATGCCCTAGTCAGAATCGCCCTTTATATGAATGAATATAAAAGATCACTATTGATAAAAACCTTTATACTTAGTCACTTTTACTATTGCCCTCTTTTATGGATGTATTGTAGCCGCAAATCTGGAAAATTTATTGAAAGTAACCATAAAAGGGCACTGAGAGTGGCTTACAACGATTTTGAATCAAGTTTTGAAAATATTCTCTCACAAAAAAATGATGTCAGGATACATCAAAAGAACCTACAACTACTAGCAATAGAATTTTACCGACTACAATCCTAATTTTACCGACTAAAACACAAATTTCTATTCATGGGGGGTTGTTACACCCCCCACACCCCCCCCAATGGGACCGGCCCTGCATATTACCCTGGGTACCAGACTCACTTTATTTAAAATAGAGACTCTAATATTTTATATAGTGAGTCTGGTACCCAGGGTACAAGCATATCAAATACCTTTAGCTTTCATCGTGTTAAATCGCTCACAATCTTACGTTTCGCAAAACTATATAGCATACAATTTCAACCATTTCAAATGTCAAAAAATTCAACTTAAACACTTTCGACTTTTAATCTAGTACATTAAGTATCAAAATATTTAGGGGACAAAATTTCGGAAAATAATATAAGTAGGGTCATGAATTCCGGTCATTTCAAACCCGTGTTTTATCATAGGAAGAAAGTGACTGTGACAGGTGACTTTTCGATAGACGATGATATCGATGAATGTTATTTGTTTTAACTGATATTTATTTTACCTTGGAAGTACATCGTTTTGTTTTGTAATGGAAAAACATATTCAGAGATCATTTGATTTCTGTTGCTTTAGTCAAATTACACTGCGCATGCACAGTTCATGCAAAAAATTTCAGCGTGAGAACTTTCGGACAACTCAATTTTTTTTACAAATGAATTATCGTATAAATCTTCATCCGGAAGTTTTCCACGCCAAAAATTTTTGTACTTAATGTATATTTCCTCAATTCTGAAAGCAAAACAACGCCTTCATGCATGCGCTTGCTTGCAAAAACCAGAAAATGCTCGCTAAAGCTTTATGTAAGCATCCCCAAAAAATAATCCTTCACAAAGCATCGTTACGGCGGGAAGTGAGCTTTGTGATAACCCCTTTGCGAAAAATTGATTTTTAGAACAAGCTTTCTTTTGCCATTCAGGGGTGCTTTGTTGGCAAATTTTCAGACTTGTCGGCAAAAAGGCTCAGCCGCTTTGTTGTCAAATTGGATTAATATAATTTTTTTTATCGATTTGATTTAGATTAGACACGCAGCCAAATTACACTCACAGAAGACACATTGACTAAATTACAATTACGGCTCGGTTTAACTGCATAAATATGAAGACTATTCTACTAAATTTTATTCAAAACATCTTTGCTCCCAATTTGTGTTTTGCTAGACATTCATTTAGCTTTGCTCCCAATTTTTCATACGACAAAACAACATGCGATAATACAATACAACACAATAAAATATGATATGATAAACTATATAATATAATATAATATAATATAATATAATATAATATAATATAATATAATAATAAATATATATAATATAATATAAATAATATAATATAATATAATATAATATATAATATAATATGAATATATATATAATATAATATAATATAATATAATATAATATAATATAATATATATAATATAATATAAATTAATATAATATAATATAATATAATAAATATAATATAATATAATATAATATAATATAATATAATATAATGAAATTTAATATAACATAATATAAAATTATGAGAATTTTGATAATATTATAATGATATTGAAATGTATTATCATATTATACTTGCTAATAGGGTCAAGACTTTAGGCATAAATTTGTTTAGGCTTTGCACTCGAATCCAAAAATTCTTCATAGCAATTCGACGATCGCATATTTACAAATGCATTAAAAAGTTAACCCAGCCAAGAATCAACCTGACAAAAGACTTCTTATGTAAATGCAAACTAAAGTTGACGATGCTGACACCAATACGATAACTGAGGTTGTTTGTTACCCAAAACCCTTGTAAACAATCCCAAAGCTAGTCTATTTACATCTGACAATCTTTAAGATAATCCTGAATAGCGATCTTCTAAAATCTGTATTCAGAAGTCCGTAAATCAAAGGATTCACGGCGTGATTTGTCAATCTGAAAATTGATGATAAAGCGTCTATAGCCGTGTGTGGAACATAATGGCGTCGAACTCTTTTAAGGAGGCATTCTGGCAAAAAGCAAATAACGAACGCCAAAATCACCACCAAAAGCATTACAGTTTGTCTTGAATCTTGCTTCAGTCTTTCTTCCTTGTTGGATATTTCAAAGGTAACAATTCTCTTCAAATTTTTCTTTTTGATTTTCAGGATTATGAAAGTACAAACTCCAAGTGTTATTCCAGGGACAAGCTCAAAGGCGATTAAATAGAAAACGGAGAAAGACTTCGAGTTGAGAAATACAATGGTGCAAACCAACTGACTCTTTCTATTGAAATATTTCGACCAGCCAAAAATTGGAGCAATGCCAACAAGCATAGGTAATAGCCAGGCCAAGAATATATAGAAGAGTGTTCTGTTCTTTGTAAAGTAATAGGGTTTGCGCGTAACGA